TGTCTCTGTGTGTTTGTGTGTGTGTGTGTGTTTGTTTGTGTGTTTGTGTGTGTGCGTGTGTTTCAAGCTAGTAAACCCATCACTTGACAATGTTTTGTAAAAGTTGCCGATTAGTCTGCTTACTCGTAAATATGGAATGCACCTGACCGGCAGAGATGGTGGTCTGCTGGCATTGAGCCCTTGAAGCCCATGCTCTCTGAACACTGGAGCCCACCACGAAATGACGCAGCTTGCGCCCCAGATGTTCGGTTCTCTTTCCAGGTGACCACTACCAGGCACCGTTGCGGCCAAGGCGGCCCAGTTACGTGCCGCCTTCCCAGGCGGGACTTAGATTATCGTCATCATCAAAAGCGAAGACTATGTTTATAGCGAGGTCGGCAGGTAGGTAATCGGGTCAAAGCAAGGCGAGTGTGGAGTAAGTGCAGATGCAGGTGTAGGCGTTGATTAAGCCTAGTGCGATTTGCGACTGTACGGGGAACAGTCGTACTTCCTCTGTGTTTGAACACGCGCGATTCACAGGTGCCAGCTGACTTGCATGAGCGCCTGCCTGTTCTGACAGGACACTGTTGCGGTAGAAATGTGTCCAACCCCAAAACCCGATTCGGCGTTGAAATCAGATTTCACCTCAACAAATCGTGACAGGCCGTTGAAATCCACCTTGATGCCAGGCGTGGCTGCGGGAATTCCTCGAAGTTGCCCAGCTGGATCTTGGGAAGTGACTCGGCACCCACAGCATTGCGCATGTAGCGAACAGGACCAAGAGCTTGCATGATTTTTCACAGAATTTGATTTGGCAGCCGGGCTTGCAGCTTCGAATGTCAAGTCTCAAGTGCCGACGTTGTCGTTGTGCGCCCGGCCGGGATTGTAGTAGACAAGGTGCCTCCCAGACGCGGGAGACAAGACTTGAGGCAGTTGTGTTGAGCATGGCTATCGTCAAAAAGTCAGAATTTGGTGGCCGCGGTGATGCTTGTTGCCAGTACCATTTTCTCTTCATTGCTGTGAAGATCAAGAGCGTTGCAAATGCGATGGTGAAGATGATAGCGATGACGCTGCTTCTTATTATTATGACGATGATCGTTCCACGTTTCGGACGTCAGTGGCTCTGGCTGCATTCAGCGATGCTGCCAGCACCAGAAGTCCAGCGCTCAGGATCGGTCCCAGGTTGCAGGGCTCGGAGAGCCTCGAGGGTTGGTAGGGCCGGGGCAGCGCCGAATCCTCGCAAGCCCGCGTTCGCATCGAGTGTCCCAGGTATTTGGAGAAGTCTCTTCTGTGGGCCGAGGCATCCGACGTGGTGTTGTGCATGATTCTGATAGCACCATGTACCAAGACGACAACAGGCAGCAACAGTCATAAGAAGAACAACAACAAGCACATGACGATTCCCATCTTCAGGAGAACGACATCGTCCATGGTGACCTGCTTGGCGGTGATGCAAGCGCAGCGAACGAGGCGGAGGCACGTGATTTCGTGCTATCGGAGGCAAAAGCTCACGCTTCGTGTTTTCCTGCGTATGTGCAAGGTCCCCGCAGTCCGTGGATGAGGAGTAAGAAAGTGTCCTCCAGCACATGTACTCTTTCGACCTCGGCGTTGCTCTCCTTCAGCGAAGTTCTTGCCCGCTGTCCATTGCATGTGCTGTTCGATTGATATCTGCCATCGTTTCTGGTCCATGCCGGTGCTTGTGGCTTCACGTCCTCCTTGTTGTTTGTTGCCGGTGTTCGGAGCGGTCCGGGGTCATAATGGCTCTGGCTGTTCTACAGTTGCGTTGTTGCCCGTACCGTGTCGATCCAGCCAGGGTGTGGGTGAAATGGAGGTCGGGTACCTCAACAAACATAAAGTTTACCTCGCAAGTCAGTTCATGTTTTCAACAGCAACCGACTGCAAGGCCCTTAGCCACCTGGAGATGCTCATCGCAGACTTGTGCCTCTCTGCAGCTCCTGCAGCACGGCTCCGCAAGACGCAAGCAATGCTGCGTGGAGCAAGGAGTTCAGGGCCGGTTGAGCTGACCTAGGAGCAGGGCGCACGATTGCCGAACGAGCTTCTGTGGAAAGCTCGGTCTGTGTTGCTGAATTCGCGCACGTGCCCTAGATCACACTGCACAAAGCATGCTGAAGTTCAGGGCCCTGCGCCAAAATGCGAACTAGCCCGATAGACCCTAAGCCCTGAAACCCCTACAACCTTCAATAGTTCATGAAAGCACACCATTATCAACCAGAATCCTTAAAAACCCTAAACCCTAAACCCTAAACCCTGAACCCTAAACCCTAAACTATAACTCTGCGATCTTGGGTGTTAGGGCGCGGGGTCGGTTCCCACGATGATCTGGGGGGCCGAATCTGCAGTGCACAAGTTGTACGATGCCGTGCTGTCCAAGACATGCATCGTCGACAGCGAGCTGAGCCCCCAACCTCAAACCCCCCTTGGCCAGTGATTCGGTCCTTCCAAACACGACATTGGGCAGCAAGCTAAACCTGCCAACTCCGTCTCACTGAACGAAAAACCAGTGACTTCCGTCATGTCTTCGGGCTAGATCACCTGAACCATCACCCCACGAGTCCACTTAATTGGTTGTTCATGAGCTGACACAGGACCCTGGCAGCAATGTAGTGTACGGATCTTCGCCCACAATGTAACTCCTACGCCCGCAATTTTTTCCATGTTCCGTTCTAGCACGCTCCAAAAAGTGATCAGCAAACCACGTAGGCCCGAAATCGGCAGACGCAGAAATGCTACACCTTCGTACCAACTTCTGAGGCAAAGGTAAGCCCCATGAGGCACCTGCAAACTGAACCCGGGACTTCCTTTAGTCAATGCAGCAGATCACCCAGAGGTTGTCCGCCTATGTCTTCGGGGTTAGGGCGTTTGAGATCTAAAGCTTCAGCGAGGTGTCTCTCAGCTCCTGGGTGGGGAAAGCCCTCTGCTCCGAGGCCCCCCGTGGCCTTCAGCCCGAAAGCACCCGGCAACCCCGTAAAAAGGCAGCCTGCAAGGGCAAAGCAAAGGCCGTCAAACCCTGCATGCTCCGAATCGAACACACCGGACCACCGAAAGTGGGAGTCCTCTAGCCTGCAAGGAGCTGCCGAAGGCGGCTTCTGCATGGAGCGCACAGAAAAAAGTTATCGACTTTAACGCGAACCACGGGCTTTGACGTTCAGCTTCATAGGGCTTGCGACTTGATGGTCGACACCTGGCCGCTGACAGACACCAGCTCCCCGATACAATCCTCAAGTACGTCTGTCTAAGGAATCTTGATCCATATGTCCCATTCATGAATACGCTCAGAATCTCACCCGAACTTGGACATGGCCCCAGGTCACTGCGCGTATGCACACATGTATGTAACATGCATGTATTGATTGTAGGTACGGTTAAAATACATACATACATACATACATACATACATAACATAACATAACATAACATAACATAACATAACATAACATAACATAACATAACATAAATACATAACATGCATAATTACAGCCACAACATGTTTCATTGCGACTGTCAAGCAATGCAAACTGTGTCAACCTGGCCCTGCACATCTCATACAAGACCGCCGAGCAACAGTCACATCCAGTTTTTTTGTGTAGGCATGTCATCTGCACGCCTTATCGTGGGCAGTCTCCCAAACATCCGCCGGCCACGAGTCGGATGCTTCTCGATTTGTCTGGTAATTGTCCTGGCATATGGTCGGACGCTTTGTCGCAGTTTCGTCGGGAAAGCATCTGAATCGAGCGGGACGTCTGGCGACCTGTGCAAGGATTTCAAGAAGGGCTTGTCGGGTCAGGTTATATGCGATGGTCTGGCGAAGTATCCTTTTGAATGGGGCAACGCAGATTGCAACGGCATTCTTCCCTTGCTGGTGGTTCGGCCAAGTACCGATGAGGATATAGCCTTGACCGTGCGTCGCAGCACTACTTTTGGACTTCCTCTCAGCGTTAGAAGTGGTGGACACAGTTACACTTGTGATGGAATCAAGCCCGGTTCTGTTCATTTGGATTTAAGATCCAGAGTGCGGAAGCAGCTCTACCACGAGAGCTCTGGGTGGTATGCTGAATTCGAGACTGGCAACACGTTTCGCGATTTGTTTCGGATTATTGATCGACGCCGTTTCTCCATTGTGCATGGCGCGTGCCATGCTGTGGGCGTGGGCGGCTTTTACCTGCATGGTGGTCTACATATGAATTCATTGACAGCCCTCTACGGCTGGGGGAACGAGACCATTGTGAGCATGAGGGTGGCACCTCGCCGAGTTTGATGCGGGAAGGTCTTCAGATTAAGCTGAAGCTCTTCTTCAGGATCCTTGCAGGAGGGATCGAAAGACTGTTACGGCTTACACTTGCATCATCATGGAGTCCAGCTTCCTCACATTAATCTGACCGAATCCGCTGTTGAGCCGTACTGCTACTTGTTGCAAGTAGCCTGACACGCACACGCAACCCAACGCAGTCCGACACTCCGGCTTGGCCGTTAGGTTGCAAAGTCCCCCACTCCCCCAGCACGAAGCTGCGAAGAATAGACCATTTTGCTGAGAAGAGGCTCCTTAAGCTCTCACCGGGCCTTCCGTTCTAGGGTTTAGGGTTTAGAAGTCGCCGGAGGGAGCGTTCAAGCGTCAGCTCTCGGTGAAAGGTTTAAGCAGCCAAAGCACTTCAGGCTTATTGTGACTTCAGGTTTATTGTGCCTTTATGGCTCGCTTTGTTGAGCCAAGTTTATACCTTTCAAACCCTTCTCTACAGATACAACTATACCCTATCAAACCCTCCATCCCAAGCCATCGAAGAAAGGTGACTGCCGATGGCCAGATTCGGGCCCTGAGCGCGTCGTCTGCGCACCAGGAGCGGAGTCAAAGCAAGGGGTTCCTCCTGGAAAACCCGAAGGCCAATACCACACCGTGAAGGCTGAACCATGCTGTCCAGTTTAGGGGTATCGGGTTTTCACGTCCAGTGCTTGATGGAGGGATGTTGAGGCTGACATCTCCACAATCGGAGTCTTCGGGTTTCGGGTTGCGGATTTTGTCGCGTGTCAAAAACGCCCTGTGCGGGGTCATAAGTGTGTTGCCTGTTCCGTAATTCCCACAACAGCCCCAGCAACTCGACAAGTTGCAAAGGGCGATCTACTGCCTTTTGAAGCGTCGCCTTCTTTTCGGAAAACCCTATTCATGAACCAGAAAGTGTTAGACGGCACGGGCAGCTCCATCGGCTCGCACGCTGTTCACGCAAGCTTAGGTTTGAGCTTTGGGACATCCAGTTTGTTTGGGTTTCCGGCATCAGGGCTCGAAGGCTTGCATGTTTAAGGTTTCGGATATGGAACGCAAAACACTGATGACAGGATCTCTGGCGAGCGATGCGGCAAGCAGGGTCGAACTTCGCGATTGCGACGTCCTTGACTGTCAAGGCACTTCGTCTAAGTGTGCTATATAATGGCTCTTTGAAGCTTGGGCCCGGGCATTGTGCTCGTCGGGGTTGTTATGCGAAGTGCACTCTTTTTCCCTTAATCCTGAACCTGAAATTCTGAAAGCTCCCGCGACAGCTGTCTCAAGCTTGCTGCAAGGCTCAGTGCTCCTCGAGAGAGAGCGAGAGAGAGAGAGAGAGTATACATGGGAAGAAAATGACAGGTCTCCTTCCCACAATCACCTCTAACACTACCTGAAGCTGCACCAGAAGTCATTTCCCACATTGTGATTTTGTCAGCTGCGGATGGCTAAATTTTCCGAGCCGACAACCCAAACGAGTGAGTGCGCGCTTCACATGCGTCATCGGGCTCCGGTGCAGAGTTCACCCTCAAGCGAGCTTGGGTATTACGGGAGGTGTGCGCCCCCAAGCTTGGGTTGGAGTTGGCTGCTTGCCAAGACAGCCCACTTGACAGGAAAAATGCTCCTCCCTCGATGATCCTTCACCGAAGTACGAAGCAGAGACGGGGCATGAGGGAGCGGTGGTCGAATAAACGGACGAGGAGCAAAAGCAATTTGAGCTAAACCCTTGTGGCTGCGAGTACTCAAACGATATCCACGTGGCGTGTGGCGACCTCGACCTGAAGGGGTACGACAACCCAAAGCCTAAACCCCGCTTGACAATGTCAACGATACTCCGGTAACCGAGTCAAGCATAGAAGACTTGCAAAAGAAACACATCAACCGATGAACCCCCACTCCAGAATAGCTGCAAAAAAAACTTGGTATCAAAAACTGGTTGAAACCTGCACAAGCCGAGAATGTCCTTTGTCTTCGTTTGCTCTCACAGGTCTTCGAAGCCCCGGAGCCGTTCACCTGGCTGTTCTGGGAATCTCGGCTCTGAAGCTTGGGGTTAAGGGCTACGGATTGGGAAGGTAGTTAGATCTGGACTGTCATAAGAGCTCATGGATTTTAGGCTGTGTTGCGTTTCGGCTTGCTGAAACCAGTCGGACGCGGATTCCCGTTGTGGTCTTCCGAATCGCCGAACACGTGGAGAGGATCCGCTCTGTAGCAACGTTCGAGGTTGTTGAATATGAGGTAAAGTCCCTACTTGCTTCATTCATGCTGTGAAACAACGTGGAACCAAGTTGGAACCGTCATCCAGAACAGCGCCCGCGCGCAGGTTCAAGTTATTTGGAATCTAATCAAGCCTTGTTTGACTTTGCTTGGGGGCTTAAGAAGCTTGTATGTCCCGTCCGACTTCAGGTGAAGATGTCGCACGATGAGGTCGTGAGCCTGTTTCGGAGAGCCATGTCGGATGAGCAGGTTCAGTTGAACATCTACTACGTCAACCCACCGTTTTTCCAGGTCAGCCTCAGCCGACCCGAGATCTTCACCGTCCAGTTTACCTTGCTGCATGGTCCAGCCAACTACTGGCAGAACCTGCAAGCCAGCTTGGATTGGTTCAAGTCCCATAAGGTGGGGCGTTTTGTAGCGACGGCATCAACATAAGGACCCCAACAGGAGCCTTAAATTAAATTAGAGCAATCCCAGGTGGCTCTTTCTTGGTGGACGATTGCCTTCAATGCTGTAATGCCCAAGCCAGATGACTTGACGCATTTGGGATATCCCAAAGCTTGGGTCTCGTCTCAGGCCATCTGGCCGGCGAATTCTGCTTGCACAGACGAAGCCTTGCATCTGCTCTTGGACTTGCAGTCGACAGTGGTAAAGCGTGCGGCCTTCCACACTTTTCGCAAGGTAGAGTGCTGGCTGACTTTCACCGAGCTGCCTCGTGGCCAGATCTACTACGAGTACAACTGCCCAAGTCGACCTACGTATGTTCAACACATCCAGACCGTCGAGCAGCGCTTCGTTGCTGCCTGTCCAAATTCTGTTAAATACCGCAACACACCCCACTGGAATGCCAGTGCCGGCCGCTACTATCCTGATTCTCGGGAGCTCTTGCAGACAAAGAGAAAGTGGGATCCACTGAATCTGCTTGGGCCCCCCACCATGTCTGTGCATGACCTTGCATAGGGCCCAGACATTAGTGCAGCCGAGCGTTTGAGAAAGGACTTGCTTGCTTAGTGTTCGCTTTGTTAGTGTGTTAAGATCACCATGAAGTGCCACGAAACCACGTTTCACGTGAACAGGTACAGAACAGGTGCCTGTGCCAGTCGAACACTGCCTAAGAACTCACTTGACACCTAACCTATTTTCTCATATATACAGTTGCATCTTCTTATCTTGAGGAAGCGCAAGACCAACCAAGCCCAAGTTCCGAAACCCAGAACAATCTACAACTTGCAACTCTCAGCCCGAAGCCCACAAGAAATGTTGTGGCAGCTGTGGCACCACAAACTCGTTTAGCGCCGTCAGTCTAGGTGCAGGGTTTGGGGTGAGGGTAGTGAGTAGTGTTGGTGCAGCTTCCGATCATTGTGGTATAGTAGAGGGTACAGGAAAGTATAGCACAGTGCAAATTTCTACGATAGCAGAAAATGCGTTGTATTTCAGACCGCTGAGACTGAGCCCGCCACCGTAAAGGCCCTGCCTGCACAGCCGGGAACATATTGCTAGTTGAGATGCGGCTAGCTTTCCAGACTCAGCAATGGGCGGCGGGCTGGATCCAGAAGCAGTCGTGTCTGCTGTTCGAAAGGCTCAGAATCATTTCCATGCACTCCTGCTGCCCATTGAATTTGCGGCGCCGCGGGCAGTGAGACGTCAGTACTTGCGAGTTGCTCTGGCAGTGCATCCGGACAAGTGCGCCTTGGCGGGGGCGGTGGAAGCATTTAAGCGTGCCTCTGAAGCCTTTGTCAATCTGCATGACGCAAGACGTCAAGAAGAGCATCTGCAAATAGCTCAGCGGCAGTCGCCATCATCTTCGACAGAGCCTGCTTCAAAGCAGGAAGCAGGAGTGGTGGTGGGAGCTTCGAAGTTCGGATCAGGAATTTGGGGCGCAGGTTTCGGCATCAACCTGGGGGTCTGGAATGTGGTTGGCACGGGCCGCTGCACGCCGAAGGATATCACGGACGCTGTTGGCACCGCAGTCCAGCTGCACCACGTTCGTGTCGTCATCAGCTTGGCTCGGGGCGCATCTCTCCGCTCCTTGGTGCCCCTGACATGCTGGACGAAGGATGGTGGTCTTGATGGCATGGGTGCGCCCACACTCCTTGAGCTGCCTCTAGAAGTGTACAACGACTCCAGCCTGCTGGAAGATGTCCTGCGCACGTCTGCCAAGAAGGCTCCCTTGATTCAATTCTGGCGGGGATCTGAGATGCTGGAGCTCGCCTTTGGTCCGCAGGAAAGGAACAACAAGCTCCTGCGAACCCTTTTGGCTCACACCACTTGTGCTGTAGGTGCCATTGGTGCTCCAAATGGATTGCGTGTTCTCCGTGAATTCCTCGAGGGTAAACTCTCCGCAGGCGCAGCGCCCGCCTTTGGATGGTTGCACGTTTGGGCCGGAGCACGGTGCGTCGGTGACTCCTCAGAGGAGCTGTGTTTTGAACTGGGACAGCAGCACCATCAGGGCTATGGCACATCGTCACACAGCAAGCCTCTGCCAGGAGCAGCTAGCACGTCTCCGAAAACTGAAGGTATGGAGTCTGATGCATTGGTTCCATGCTTGGTTCCTGCATGCGTTTCAGCGGACTGGCACTCATGGGTGGCATTGCAGGCAGTGCAGGAGGTGTGCAGGCGATTTCCAGCATGCACTGCATTGGTGGAATTTCGGCATGGGGACGGTGGTGGGGCTTGTGGGAACAGTTCAATATTCCATTCCTTGACGTTGCCTTCAAAAGCTGGCCGTGTGACGCAACACAAGCAGTTTCTGCGCGGCTTGACTGTTTCAATGGCCATACATGTTACCAGCGAAGAAGGTACGGCCCTGGATTGCGGCGTGAGTGCGGAGGATTTTGCTGACTCTGTTCCTTCAGCATGTAGGTTCTGGGAGCTGTGGCGATGGGGCAGCGGCTCATGGTGGTCCTTGCGCGTCTCTGAAGCCTCACTGGAGGATGCTGTCAGCCACATGGTTGGAAAGACTTTTGAGGAGTTCTGTGCGATTGTACGTTCTCGGGGTGGTCGCTGCACCCCCGATGCAAGTCTTGTCTGGACATAGACGGCGCGTGAGAAAACGGCTCTTCTCCGGCACCGGCGCGACGTACGTTGTGGTAGCATACCTATTGACCATCCGAGAAGCCCGGCCTTTTATAGTTTGACAGGGTCAGGATTCATGACTCAGGATTTAAGAATTACAACCTGAGGTTGGACTAGGACTAGGATTTAAAAACTAGGATCTAGGATTCTCGATAGTCTTGAGCCAGATTGATGATGTTGTAGCCTTGAATGTCTGCGTGCAACAGCTCGATGAAAGTTGTCTTGACGGCTATTGAGCTTTTCTAGCATGGTTTATACCGTCCTATCCTCCAAAGATAAAATGAATATATTTATTGTTTTTGGTCTCCAACCGAGGCCGCGGTATGCTTGAAATAGGATTATTGGGGTTCGAAATGGGATATTTTTAAGATTTGACATGTGTGACGTGATATCTTTATTTCGAAGCTGGGTCTGGTCTTGAAATACATTTGTTTTTTGCTGACTATATCTCCATAATTGCATGCGTGTCAGGGTGCGTTTTGGCATGGCGGCAAGCTCTTCGGATGACCTCCGCTTTTCGGGAGTTTTAGCCTTGCGTCAGCCCTGTAAAGGAATTCTCGAATATTTCCGATAATTTTGAAGGTATTTGTCGAATATTCCCGGAATTTGGGGGAATCCCTGGAGTCGAAATTTCTTGGAGTTGGCAATCCCCGAAGCAAGCCCTGCACCAATCGAGCACGGTTGGCTCACGGCTGGTTCTCTGTCCATGCCTCAACGTTGCCGTAATATAGTTTAGCTAGAAAGTTTCAGGTGTTCTTCGTGCTTTCGAGGCCAGAGTATGCTAAGAAACGACGTTGTGGGTGTAGTTTTACGATTTGGAAGGCAATTTGATTGTGGTATGCGGTTGTGCCGGAGCCGGCTGAGATGTCTGATGGATACTGCCCGATGTGCCGGGTGTAGTGAACTGTTGTGCGAATGCACCCGGGACGGCGTGCGGGGTAAACGGTTGTGTAACCGTATAGGGGTGATTTGCGGGTTGTGCAGGCGGGACAAAAGATGACGCCTGGATGCATGGTTGGTTGAACCGTTGTGTATTGCATCATATGTTGCTGCGTGGCAGGTGGTTGTGTGAACATCATGGGTAGGCCTGTTTGCTGTGTTACTGGTGTGTGTAGGTGGGCGGGTGTCTGCGCGGTGTTTTGAGGGTGGTTGGCTAAATGCATCGCTTGTTGTATGCCCAGCATGTGATGCGATGAGACGTCCATGAATAGTAGGGCCAATTACTTCCCGAAGGAAGCTGCAATCATCTGCATTAGACGAAGGTTACTGCACCTGCCCTTTTGTCAGTCGCAAATGCCCTTGCATTCCCTGAGAAGGAAGAGACAGAATAAGGACGGCAGAATAGCGAGGTAGTCCTGTGCATTAGCGGCCGATTACTGCACCTGCACTCACGTCAGCCCCACATGCACTTGCAATAGACGCCGGTTACAGCACCTGCACTCATATCAGACTCACATGCGACCATCAAAGAGAGGGAGTCTCATGTCTGCAAGGAACTCGGAAAAATCCACCTGACATTCATTAGTCTCCCTCGAAGGGTCACCACGGCG